ACTAGTCGATGGTCACTCAACTAGACAAAAGAAGACGTACATAATTTTTTTTCATATACTTTATACATTTTTTGTGTATAAAAGTAAACCTTCTTAAAAACAAAAACTTACATACGATTGTGTATTATTTTATTTGCCTCTGGCACAGCAGTCTGATAATGGTTTCTTGATCACATGCCTTAAACAGAGAAAAAATATATATGTTTTACTCTTTCTACAGCAGTTAAAGCCTTTTATCAGTAAACCATCCTAGAGACCCATTTTCTGCATTTTCATTTATCTTTAAGACAATATTTAGAATAGCTGTCATCAGGTACTACAGCACATGGCTGTTTTTGCTTTCTACATTATTTTTTCTGAATGCAATTTTTTATGTTTTCTCTTTTATATCACTAACAAAAAAAAAATCTATATGTAGTTTGCATACATGTCCGAAAAGATTGACTTTGTTGTCACTCTGTAACTTAATTTGTTACTTTGGACTGTCAGGACTCCTGTCTTTGTGTTTGTGTTTCTGTGTTTGTCTCCCTTCATCCACCAGGAGGCACCTGGTTCTGGCCGCCTCCTCACACACCTGCTGATGGTTTCCTCGTTAAGCGGTGGTTCCTCGTTAGTGTTCTTACGCTGCTACTACTTCGACGGCAGAGTGTTGGCCAGTTTTGGGTTCTGGAGTTGGAGCTTTTCTCTCCTAAGTTTCCGGTATTGACAACAAATTACACCCCTGTGCTTTTTTCTGTAGCAGACTCACTCCTGCTGAGAGAAATAATGACGTTGTAGATCGTGAACTTTAAGCCATAAAGTTGGTTCTGGAGGAATGGAGACACTGGCTTGAGGGAGCTGCACACCCGGTTCAGGTTTGGACAGATCACAAAAATCTCTCCTATATCCAATCCGCCAAAAGACTCAACCCCCGCCAATCTCGATGGTCGTTGTTTTTCTCTCGATTCAACCTCTTTATCTCTTTTTGCCCTGGCTCTCGGAAACATCAAACCGGACGCCCTTTCTAGGCAGTTTTCCCCGGACGAATCTGAGGAGTCGGCGGCTCCCATCCTGCACAGATTCAGATTCAGATCCCACTAACTGGAGTCAACTTCTTCCATGGGTCGAGTATGCACATAATTCCAGTGTCTCTGTCGCCACAGGTCTTTCTCCATTTGAGGCATCCATTGGCTACCAACCACCCCCTTTCCCATATGAAGAGGC